ATTCATGAATTTAGTACATATCTTCATGGTAAAATTAGCCAAAAAGATTATGAGCATGCCCAAAAAGTATGGAAAGAATTTAACTGCAAGACTTTAGATGATTATCATGACCTCTATCTTAAAATCGATGTACTCAGTCTTGCAGATATTTGTATCCAATTTTGAATGACATGTATGCAGTATTATGAGCTTGATCCTAGTCATTATGTTTCAGCACCTGCATTAGCTTGGGATGCTATGCTTAAGATAACAGGTGTTAAAATTGAGCTCTTTACAGATATATCTATGCATGATTTTATAGAAGATGCTAAGCGTGGAGGTATAGCTATAGCCTATAAGTGCTATTTTAAGGCCAATAATCCAAAAATAGGCAAAACATTTAACCCATCAAAACCAACAACATGGATAAGCTATGTCAATGCCAATAATCTTTATGGATGGGTTATGAGTCAATATTTGCTTATTGGAAATTATAAATGGGAGGTAAGTTGCAAATATCTTGAGAATAATTGAAATGAGCAAAAGAAATATCTCAATAAGATTCTTAATACCAAAGCAGATGCTAAAAGAGGATATTTTCTAAAGATTAATGCACATTTTTCTTTTAAAAACTCATGAATATTTGAGTGATTTACCTCCAGCTGTAGAAAATATGGCTGTAAATAAAAATATGTTAAGTCCCTATACTACAGAACTTGTAGATAGCTTGGATGGTGGACGTTTCTTAGCAACAGAAAAATTAGTACCTTATCTTGGTCCACAAAAAGAATATGTTATTCATTACTTAGAGCTTCAATACTATATAGAATTAGGTATGATAGTAGATGAAGTAATAGAAATCTTATCTTTTGATCAAACTAACTGGCTCGCACCTTATATAGCTTTTAATACAGAAAAGTGACAAAGTGCTAAGAATGCTTTTGAGAAAGATTTCTTTAAGCTTAAGAATAACTCAGTATATGGCAAAACTATAGAAAATGTTCGCAAATACCAAGACGTCAAGCTCATGGCTATGAATAATAAGCAAGACGAAAAGAAATTTATTAAGCAGATCCGTAAACCCTCTTTTAAATATGCTAGACAGCTTGGAAATACACTTGTTGAGGCACATATGGGAAAAGCTAGTGTAACTCTCAACAAGCCTATTATTGTTGAAGCATCAGTTCTTGGCCTTAGCAAACTTTTAATGTATCGCTTCTGGTATAGATATGTAAAAGAAAGATATGGTGATAAAGCCCAGCTTGGATATATGGATACAGACTCATTCATATTTCAAGTTGAAACTAAAGATATCTATAAAGACATGGCAGAGCGACCTGATCTTTTTGACCTTAATGATTCTAAAACTATTGGGCTTTTTAAAGATGAGACTCTAGGCAATGTGATTACAGAATCTTATCATATTTGGGCTAAATCATATCACTATGTCTTAGCAGATAAGTCTACAAAGTCTAAGCATAAGGGGGTTAGTAAAAAAGGCATAAATGAAATGGCTATGAATTCATACATGCCAGCTTTAGAAGGGTCTTTGCTAGATGATCCGATAGATAGATCATTATTATCAGAGCAAGAAGCTATGTGAACTGAGGCAGATCCTATGACCCTAGTATATCGGGACTGTCTCTTTGGTAATGAAGTATTTCATGCTAAGAATGTAGGTATCTGATCAAAAGACCATATATTATCTTTGGTTGAATCAGAAAAGAAGGCTCTTTGCCCTATAGGTACTAAGCGTTGGATATTATTTGATAAAATAACTAGTTTGCCATATTATCATTGGCGTATATATGCATATAAAAATTTTATATCAAATGGAATATCTCCAGAGTTGGCTGAAGAACGAGCTTTAAGAGTTAAGCTCTCAAAGAGGTATCAAAATGAATATGTATCCCATATATCTATAACTCTTTGAGTCACCCCTATGGGCCTGCTTCACAATAATCTATTTATTTGATTTATTATTTATATAAATTATTAATATATATTGCAAGGCAATGATGATGCAGAGCATCAAATCTTTGATAAGACTATGTCTTGAGGCTTTGCCTTCTCCCCTTCAGGTCTAAAGTCAGTAACTGTTATCAAAATGGTTGGGTGGTTTTTATATTTTTTTAAAAATTATAATTTTATGAAAATATAGATGCTTTTTATATTTTTTGAAAGATTATAATATTTCATGAAAATATATTTCATAAAATTTCATGGTTTTTCATGAAAGTTATTCATATCTTCTTACTCAACTACCATCTTCATTAATAAAAGCTGGATGGAATCGGCTTACAACTCGAAAAAAAAATCCATTATCAGAAAGTGAAGCCAGTAGTATTAGCCCTATTATAGAAGCATTTTTAAAACATGAAGTTGATAGATACTAAAGAAATAAAAAATCTCGATATAATCCTACAATAGAAATAGAGACAGAGTCTTATTGTACAGTGATACCAGTTTCAAAGCCCAAAAAGTCAGGATTCGAAGAAGAGACAAAGTCTCGAATCTCTAATTCTTTCCCTAATAGCTTGCTTTATAGACCCGAAGGGTCATACTCTGAAGAAGAGGTTAATGCTAGAATCAAAGAAGCTACAGATAATTTATGTCAAGAATTTATTAAATCTACTGAAGAAACTTTAAAACTATTAAGCAACAGAAAGATATAGAATGCAATCAAATTAAGATAGATATGGCTAATTGGAGTACAAAATTATTCGAACTTTCATTAAAAAAATATATTTGAGATGGTACTATATATGATTTTATTTATGCATTAGAAGAAAAAGATAGTAAATTATATTCTAAACCTGAAGAGTCATTGCTTCGCAATAATATTTCTTGGAAAAAGTGATTCATATATTTTTCCCATATAAAAATATCTCGAACTTGTGATTTATTACATGGAATACAAGTTTTAAGACCACTAATTATTTTTTTTTATTGCAGAGTTTAGATCTGGGTTATGATTCAAAGAAGAGATAAAATCTTGAGAAAGCTGAGCTTTGAGTCTTTGACTTATCTCTGATTCATCATCTAATGACTTGCTTTGCAATAAATCATCCTCACTAGATAGACTAAAATCTGGGCTAAAACCTGCAGAAGCATGCCATTTCTCTAATAATATATTATTATTACTAGACTGACTAGAAGAGGAATCAGAGATTTGGCACTTTGTGCTATTAGTAGATACTTGAACTGAGGAAGCAGAGCTTTGAGTCTTTGACTCATTATGCTTGTGAAAAGTCAAGTTGATTTCTGGTTTAAATATTTCTCTCTGGGACTTATATACTGAAAGAGGTATAGTAATTACTTTACCTTTATGTATTAACTTGAATTCATGCTTAACAATAGGCTCCCATCCAGCACGATCAAGCAAAGGAGTGCCTAATAATATCCAAGGTTTATCATCATCCATTACTGAAAAGTCTTCTGTAATTGTACAACTATTATTTCTATTGCCAAAAGTAATTAGTACATTATAACAAGTTCCAATAGATTCTAAAGAATTATTACACCATTTTACAGAAGGTTTTTTATTTTTGTCTATATTCATTCCTAATAGTTTTGCAAGACCTTTTGATTTAAAAGAGCAGTTTGCTCCACTATCTATTAGCGCACCAGGTACTTGAATATTTTTTCCTGATGGTGAAATAATTTGGCAAGTAATAGTTGCAACATCATTGGAAATAATTTTACGAATAAAATTAATTTCTATAGGATTTGGCCATGAAATTTCTGCTTCTGGTTGCATCTCTTCTGGAGCTGTTTTGGGTAGTATATTTGTTTGCTAGGAAGCAATTCGAATTAGATCTAATATTTGTTGCAAGATGTGAGAGAATATCATAGTAATCTCATGCCAGAACTTTTCTCATTCCTTGTCTGAGAAATTTGAAGTAAAATGATTTAGAACAGGATCTTTCAGTGCAATGAATTCAGCATTAATCATATTATAACCATTAATTGAGACTTCTTTAGGTTGTGTACGAGTAAATGAATCAACTATTGATCGTAAAATAGCAAAAAATGCATTTAGGCTAATATTATCTATAGGAATTTTAAGTGACTTAGTATTGCGAAGCAATGATCCTTCAGGTCTATTTTTACTACCCTTTTTGCTAGAAGTTTTATTGCTTCGCAATGACCTTTCAGGTTCTGGCCTGGCATTTTTGTGCTTCTTTAATCTCTTGGTATCAGAATAAGTTATTTTTTTTTTGTGGCATTGATTTCGTATTCTTCTGAAGAGGCATAGCCTCAAGTCTCTGACTCATCACTTTCTGAATTACTAGACTCACTGGTTCTAGAGGAATCAGATTCTGATTCATTGTATAAGCGTGCTAAGGTATTGGTTTTAAGTTCATTTTCACTAGATATTGTACTATTTTCACTATCACTAGAGTCTGAAGATGATTTATCTGAAATTATATGGGCATTAACATGTTTTGATCAACTCGATTTCTTTTTTTGGGTTCTAGATTTGGTTTTGGTCTTGCGACGAGAAGATTTAGGCTTGCTAGAATTCTTTTTCATAGCTTTATTTATTTTAGTCAGATTGATTTGGAGGTTTTCTAATTGTTTACGCATATCTTTTATAGGATCATTATCAGTAACTTCAAGACTCTGTAGATTATTGCTTTGCAATACTTTCTTTATTGGTGGTTTTGGGGGTAAATCGGGTTTGAGAACAGGAACAAATTCTGGAATCTCTCCAGTAAGCCATTGTATAAATCTACTCATATTCATATCTTGTATAATTTGTGAGGTTCCTGGTGGTTGTGGCCTATAGTATGATTGAGATGGTTGTGAAGAAATCGGTTGAGATGGTACAAAGTGCTGAGTCTTCATTTCTTGAATAGATGACATCATAGATTTTATTAAGTTTTCGATTTCAGTTTTGGTCATACCCTGACCTGAAGGGTTATTATCTTTTCTATAAGATTTATCTGAACCTGAATATAAATAAGCTCCAGATAATTGTTCTGTCTTATATTTCTCAATTTCTTCGAGTTCTGTGAGCAATTCTGATATGGGTCTGTTAATTCTGATATGTCGAATTTCTAATTGATTATCGGGAGAAATGCCACGAATAAATTGTAATCGAATTTGTTGTTCATCAATACCAGCAAGCCTAGCAAGTTTATGTAACTTAGAATAGAATCGACCTACAGGATCACTGCCTTGGATCATTGAACTAAAGAGCATTCACTGTTTTTCTGCAGTAACTGTAGGATAGTTAGTTTTAAGCCAGTATATTGCCTGCCCAAGTCGATTTCCATCTGCTACTATAGATTAACCACTATTGACATTGGGTAGATTTACAATGCGATCAGTTGGGCGCCCATTGGCAAAAGACCAGTCTTCATTAAATACTGTATGAGCTGGAATAACAATATTTCCAGCCTGGCCTACAGTGCCATGTCTTAAATTTGCTCCAAGTTGTGCTGCTGTTCGTCCTTGAGCCAGAGCTAAAGTGGCCTGCCCGGTATTATCTAATAAATTTCTTAATTCCCAATTCTTTCGACGAAGAGATCTTTCATACCAATCTTTAGCATCACCTTTAAGACATGTTTCAAAAAGACCATGTGCTCGAATTCTGTGAGCATGTTCAGCTAATATATTAATTCCTACGGCCACAAGATATGAGTGAAAAGAATCAATAAATTCTTCTGGATCTTCATCAGGATAGCCATGAAAATTTGGGGGTGGGTATCTAGCCATTCCTATTTGTTGTATATTTGGTGGGTTATTCTGTAGCATAAAAATTTGTTGATTTAAATTATTAATTAATTGTTCAGAATTTCGGGCCCGAGTTTTCTATTTACCCCATTTATTTTGTATAGTTCTGTATCTATTTTTCCATTTGTTATATCAGTTTGTTGTAAGATTTAAAAGATGCATAGTAATTGCCCCATCCGTCTTGCAATCTTGTAGTTGATGATAGGCTTTTCTATTTTTGAATCTTAATGCAAAGCTTTCTAGAAACAATTCTGATATTCGGCTTTTTAGTGTACGGATTGTAATTCGACCATTTAGTTCTCGAGATTTAAATATATTATGCTGTGTTCTGTGGGGCTCATAAGCTTGATGAAGAAGATCATAGTCATTTTGAAGTGTAGTTAACTGAGTTTGTAAATCGGCAAACTGGGTCTGAGAATTAGCTAACTGGGTTTGCAAAGTTATTAGCTGGGTCTGCAAATTCGCTACTTGATTTTCAGCATTAATTGCTCGAGCATTTGCTTGTGAATATATTTGTAGCACCAATCTTTTAAACCTATTTCCAGCATCAGAAATTATATTAAGATAATTTACAATGCCATTTATTGTAGGTGCTATTGTAGCTGGGCTTTGAAAATATTGCCTAATATTATTAATCTTTCGCTGAATCCTATATTTTGGATCGTAGCTTGATTTTCAGGTAGAGATAATCTGGGGAATTCTGGTGGTTGTGTCATAGTATTGCTAAAGCTATACAAATCAAGAATTTTTTCATTAAGCTTGTCTATTTCATTCTGAAAAATTGCTAACCGTTTTTCTAAATAATTTATATAATTCTCTTGATTTATAGAATTTTGAAGCATCTTTTCTAACTGTTCTTTAAGATTAGATATTTCTAATCATAATGGGTCAAGATCCTCATCTTGAATTAAGATTTCTTTTTCGAGATATTTAATATAATCTTCTTTTAAGACTAGATCCTGCTGTAATTTGCTAACTCGATCTTGTATTACCAATAAAGCA